GCTTGAGATACAGTGTTTGGGGAATAGTCCAGCTTGCATAATTTAAAAATATTCTTATTTTTGGAAGTTTATTTCTCATTTTATTTTTAATAACATGAAAGCACTTTGTAGAGTTCCGTGCTAATGTTAATTATTTTTTCTTCAACATTCAGATCTGCATGGTGAGGTGGAGCCATTCTGTCCTCTAGTCCGAATGCCAAGTGTATGACCTGTGGTGAGTTATCTAATTTCTCTGAACCTCAGTTTCCTCATCTTATACATGGCATAATATCTAACTTACACAACTGATAAGAGGATTCAACAAGATAACCTATGTAAAGGACTCAGGGTTAGTACAGCTGCCTAGAAAGGGACCTCAACAAATCCTTAGTGACTTTCTTTTGCTGTGATGTAGTGAAGAGAACCAGGTGTACCCAGGAGGCAGGAGACCTAGTTTCTGGTCTCTGCTTCAACTGCTTCTCAGAGGACCAAAGTTACTTGGCCTTGGAAGGCCTCAGCTGCCATTAAAATGAGGTTAGGAATGTAAGTGTCTTGCCTAGTGGTTAGATTAAATGGATTTTTAAGGTATCTTTAATAAGATGATCCCTTTGATGATATAACTCTGTCCCTTTAGACATTTTCTACCTTTAGAAATAGTACTTGCTGGTGTCAGGGGCATGTGTTTCTATGTGTGAACCAGTAAATGAACTAGTTTTATTATAAGTTAGGGTGGACATGGAGGAAACTCTGGCTATCTTTGTTGAGATTGCTTTACTCACCCTTCCAGTCTCTGGCTAACATAGGTTGTAGTTACTTATAAACAGTGCCAGTGATTCAGCTAATATGAGCTCACTTACTGTGTAAAACATCTTCTTTAAACATTTATTTTCAAATTGGAGATGGGGTGTGGCTTGGCTTCGTTTTATTTGAAAGATGGTGTAGTGTCATGTTTAAGAGCATGGACTTTGGAGTCTGATAGATGAGGTTGGAATTCTGCCTTTGCCACTTAGTCAGTTTCCATTTCAGCTACTTACTTACATGTCTTTGGACAAGTGACCCAACCTTGCTAAGCCTTGAGGTTATTTTAAAGGCAAATTAATTAATTGATGTAAGGTTTTTAGCACAGACTCAGACACACAGTAGGCTTGCAGTAGTAGTAAGTATTTCTTTATTCAACAACTATTTATTGAGCCCCTACTATGTGCCAGACACTATCCTAGCTGCTGGGGATAGAGAAATGAACAAAAGAGGCTTCATCCTTCCTTCATTGTCTTACATTCCTCAGTTCTATCCTTGAGAAACTCCACTACTTCATGACAGCTTCGATTGTAAAAGGTATTCTACTTTCAGATTTGCTAAGATGTCATGAGAGGACAGTGCATTTTAGAATGGAGCAATTTATTATGTTTTATCCCTGCATAGGGAATGTTTATTTAACACTACTTGGAAAACAAATCTGTTTCCAAATTTAGATTGTGGGAGTTCTGGTATTCTCATATTTGGGTTCAGTTCCTTAGGCACTTACTAAGCATCTACTGTGCTCATGCACTATGCTGAGAGCTGGACATTCAAAGATGTGCAAAACCTGGTGCCCTCCACAGAGAAGCTCCCAGTCTGTGAATGGAAGGGGACTTGGTGGATGAAATACAAGAAGAAGTGATCCTGTACTTTTCATTTCTTCTTATTACGAAGTATTTGTAAGCATAAAATAACATGTAATATATATGCTAAGAAACAAGAGGACAAAAGCATGGTGTCAGCCATACTATCGAAGCTCCCGTTGTGCTCCTTCCAGACTCTACCCTCCATGTCTGCTGCCCCCATAATGATTTACCTTGTGTTTTGTATTGATCATTTTTGTTTTTTTTAANATTGTTACAAAATATTCAAAGCAAGGATGTACAGCCAAGATTACTCTATCCAACAAAGCTATCATTTAGACTGGAAGGACAGATAAAGAGCTTCCCAGACAAGAAAAAGTTTAAGGCGCTCATCATCACCAAACCAATATTGCAAGGAATCTTGGACTTGTTTAAGATGAAAAAAAAGATAAAAAATATGAATAATAAAGTGGTAATAACTACATATCTCTCAACAATTACTTTAAATGTAAATGGATTAAATGCTGCAACCAAAAGATAGGTGGCTGAATGCATAAGGAAACAAGACCCTTTCGTATGCTGCCCATAAGAGACTCCAGATTGAAAGACAGAGACTGAGGGATGGGAAAATGATATTTCATGAAAATAGAAACAAACAAACAGCTGGAGTAGCAATACTTATATCAGATATAATGGACTTTAAAACAAAGGCTAAAACAAGAGACAAAGAAGGACCCAGTAATCCCACTTCTGGGTATTTATCCGAAGAAACCCAAAACTCTACTTCAAGGGGACGTGTGCATCCATATGTTCATTTCAGCATGTTAACAATGGCCAAGATGTGGAGGCAGCCTGGGTGTCTGTCAATGGATGAATGGATGAAGAGGAGGTGGTACATAATTACAGTGGAATGTTGCTTGGTCATTCTGGGCTTTTGCCATCTGTGGTGGCATGGACAGACCTAGAGGGTATTGTGCTGAGTGGAGTATGTCAGACGGAGAAAGACAGAAGCAATGTGATTTGCTTATATGTGGAATCTAAAGAACAAAATAAACAAAACAGAAACAACCTCATAGATACAAAAAATATTTTGATGGTTGCTAGATGGAAGGGGAGTTGTGGAGTGAGTGAAAAGAAGACTTAAATGTAAGACCTGAACACATAAAACTCCTAGAAGAAAATATAGGGTCTAAATTTGTAGACATTACCCTGAGCAATATTTTTACTGATACATCCCCACAGGCAAGGGAAGTAAAAGAAAAAATGAACATATGGGACTACATCAAACTTAAAAGTTTTTTCATAGCAAAGGAAACCATCAACAAAACAAAAAGGTAGCCTACTGAATGGGAGAAGATATTTTTCAATGATACATCTGATAAGGGGTTAATATCCAAAATTTACAAAACACTCATGTAACTCAACACCAAAAAAACAAACAACCCAATTAAAAAATGGGCAGAGGATGTGAAGAGACATTTTTCTAAAGAGGACATACAGATGGCCAACAGGCATATGAAAAAATGCTCAACCTCACGAATCTTTAGAGAGGTGCAAATAAAAACCACAATGAGATACCACTTCACTCCAGTCAGAATTTATCATCAATAAATCAACAAACAACAAATGCTGGTGAGGTTGTGGGGAAAAGGGAACCCTGGTGCATTGTTGGTGGGATTGCAGACTGGTGCAGCCACTATGGAAATCAGTATGGAGGCATCTCAAAAAACTGGAAATGGAACTACCTTATGACCCAGCAATTCCATTCTTAGGTATTTATCCA